CTTGCACAGTAAAATAATCATTTCCTTTCCATTGTTCTTTTCAGACAACATTCTACTAGAGAGGTCCATATGGTAGGATAGATACACACAAGACAGGACGGATTTGACTACAGAAGTTGTGATTTATACACAAAAGCAATCAAGCAGAGAATACCATGCTTCTTGCTCAGTTTTTCCACACTGAATAAGATGAAAGCGTTCTCAAATGTCTGCTTCCCACTTTGAGCTTCATTTCTTTTTATTCTATCCTATCCTAACCCTTCAGTTTCTCAAGGCAAAAATACATCCTCTGTTATCCTGAGACTAACTTGTCTTGTATGCCTGTAATCTGTACTGTTGTGTGCAAACCAAATCAGAAGTGAAAGTCTGTTTAAAAAGCCGAGTAAACCAATTTTCCATTTTTGCTCTGATGCCAGTGTTGCTGTTCAGCCATTCATTTGCTTATGTTACCACATGCAGTACTTTCTTCTGAAAGAACTCCCAGAAATTGTAGTGGATTCCTCTTGATTTTCTTACTGCTAGCCTTCATTTTCTTTCTGCCCTTACAGGAAGCTTGCTCTCTTGATGCTTCTATAATGAATCCTGTGGATAATCAAAAGGTTTTCATCTTTCTTCTTTCTTGCTTTTTTGTCTATTGACTTTTTGTCTCCTGTACCTTTCACCTTTACCCTTTTCCTTTAATAACACTGCAGTGGCCAAACATTAATAACTTATTTCTGGGGTGCACTTACACACATGGTGTTTAATTTAATTTAATATTTAGTAAGCAACTGCAGACAGATTAACTTTAACAACACTACCATGATAGCTCTCTGTACAAATATCTTTCCCCAGTAATTCTGAGATCCATTGATGCGAGATGCTTTGCATCCTGCATTGGCTCATCTAAGTAATGTAGAATATATACAACATGAATAATGAGATAATTGGATAAAATTTCATGGGGAAATTTGTAAAGAAATAGGCAAAATGTTTGTTATAACCAAAATTCAACTTTTCTCTCACTTTTTTCCTGCACAAAGTGATCATTATTTTCTGTAACCAAGTCAGAGGGTCGCGATGAGGGGCTTAATGTCGTCAGCCAGATCAAATTAATTTGCAGAGGGAGAATCTGCGAAAGGAGACTTTACATGAGATACCAATATTAATAAGAAAAAGAATAGTTAGAAATAATATAAAACCTACAAAAGGCTGTTCTATTTTCTGCAGCCTAAGAAAATCAATGATAAATAAAGATTTCTGCTGCTCTCTAGTCTTCAGTTCACTTACCATAAAGCCTACCTCAGACATGTCTAGATGCAGAGTATCTTCTTATGGGTACAAATCAGTAGTAAATTTAAACAAATTGTGTATTTCACACTAAACATTCCTTATTGTTTGTTTGTTTATTTATTTATTTATTTATTTATTTATTTGTGTCACTGTTTTTTAAGCAAGGGCAATCTGTGGCAGCAATTGGGTTGGGGCTGGAGACGTGAGAAAAATATGACAGTTGTCGTCATATGCCAGTAATGTAGCTTTGTCACTGCTCAGGGAAAATGTAAACAAAATAATGGTATTTTTATTGTACTACTTGCAGTAAGGTTCTTCACAGACTCCAGCTGTGAACCATATGGTCTCATGGCCATCTGGAAACAAACCCCACCCTAAATCTGCCTGCACCCTCCAGGAAAAATCAGTGTTTTTTTTTTTTTTTTATGAACTGTTTAAGAATATATGATGATATGCTTTGTGTGTTTGGAAAAAAAAGAGAGAGGAAGGAAAGCAACCAATGGCTTTTTTTCTTACGAATTAAATCCTAGGACAATATGAAATGTATGCCTAGTACCAGATGTTTTCATTGTTTTATAAGAATCTCATTTTGGCACAAATTGTTATGTTTTTCTTCTACATGATACAATTTCCTTTTATATGTAAGATCCTAATCAATTGTCAAAGACTTAGGGAAAGAAATTCATTCGAATCACATCATATTATGTAGTAAATGATGACAGACAGTAACACGAACCTTCCTTGTCCGATAGGAATATAAAGTCTCAAGCTTTGAGCAGAGACTGATCAGTGAGATTGAATACCGCCTGGAGAGGTCTCCTGTGGAGGAATCGGATGATGAGGTGCAGCATGGAGATGAGCCCACTGATAACAGTGTGGCACCATATTTTGAGATGAAGCTGAAACATTACAAAATCTTTGAAGGAATGCCAGTCACATTTACATGCAGAGTGGCTGGAAATCCAAAGCCAAAGGTGAGAGAAAGAAGGAAATCTCTTCAGAAGTGTGGAAACTTCTGAATTATTGTATTGATTATCTCTGTAATAACAAGTGTTCTGTGTATTATAAGTAGGGTGACCAGATAGCAAGTGTGAAAAATTGGGATGGGGGTGAGGGGTAATGGGAGCCTATATAAGAAAAAGACCCAAAAATTGGGAGTCCCTATAAAATCGGGACATCTGGTCACCCTAATTATAAGAATAACACGTTTTCTGGCTGGGGGCAGGTCCTTAGGTGACATCTTCTTAGTGTATGTGCTTCAGGTGCCATGTGACCTTCATCACCGAATTTGGTCCACTGGTTGGATAATTAGCTTCCACAGCCTGGGCTGCTGGGTACTGATGGAGAGTGCAACGTGAATGCTGATCCATGCCCCCCAATCAGGTGGCAGAAATTGTCATAGCTCTATTGAAGCCAGTGAACTTATGGTGATTTGCACCAGCTGAGGATCTGCATCTTGGGGTTTCTCTCTAAAGATGCACAGCTAACCATCTCCCAGTCACCTTAGCCATATATAATGGGTGTAAAATTTTCCAAATCACCCAAGTACCATTTTCAAACGTGACTTAGGAGCTTAATTGTCATTGAAAGTCAATGGGACTTAGGTCATTTTTCAAAATGGGACTTAGATTCCTATGTTACTTACAAAAAATGTCCCATATATTTCTGATACATTGTAATGGTGCTCCTCATGCTTCTGTAATTTTTATTTTTTAATGACAGAAGTTTGTTCATCTCAAAATCTTCTCAAAGGTCACCATACCTTCCAGTGAAGCCTTGTCAAAGGAAACTGTCATTGACGGGGCAAAGATTTCTTAGAGGAGTTTACTCCACAGCCCACATGCCAAGCATCACTGTTTTCTTTTAGATTTTTAAAGTTCAAAACATAACAATATAGCATCTCCTGGTGTGGTGCACAGCGCTCAGGATGGGTTTCCTTTGAGAAAATGTTAAATCTCTGTTGATACTAGGTAATTAGTGTGGAAGAAAATGTCCTGTTTAGTAGACTGTGCCTAGTAATTTTAATGATTAACCAGTAATCTACCGACCTATTTAGGTAACTGGAAAACAAAAGCAGCACTGGTTCCTTGTTGGCTTCATTCATAAAGCAAGTACCTTCATAATTGTCCTGCTGGGCAGGGAAAGATGGGAGGAAAGCAGTAATGTGTGGCAGGTTGTCACAGTGTCCCCTTGTGGCTAGATACTGTTTTTTCATTTAGATTATTCCATTGAAGCCCAGCCTTCACAGCAGCGAAGGCCACATTGGAAAGTTACCAGAAATGCAAGGGCGCTACATAATTTACATAATAAATGTATTTAGGATTTTAGTTTGAGGAAAATATACATTTTAAAAATGTGTTTATAGAATGCTGTTAGCATATAGTGTTACACAAAATTATAGAAAGACCAAATGTGTTTGGAGTGTTGCCAGGGCAAGACTAGTTGGGAAAACTGGCGCAGCTTCCCTGGAAGCTTTATTGTTCAGCTGAAAGTTCAGCTTCTTGATGTTCAGCTTTATTTCTGAGCTTTATTTTTCAACAGTTTGACTCTGTTACACAACGTTGTGGTCGCTTTGATCCCTTCAGAGTCCAAATAGAAGAAATATCGCTTGACAAACATAAGTACTTCCAAAGAGACTTTTACAAATAGCAGGCCTCTTTATATAACCTACGAAAGCTTTCCTGGCCTGCTGCTCCTGAAACCCTCTGATCTGTTCATTTTATCTAGAACACTCCTGTGTTTCCTACTTTTCACCTATTCTTACTGGTAGTCTGCTTCTCTAGAAAGAGCTTGAAATGAGTAGCCACAGATTGTGTATCACAGACCTAATACCTTTTCATCTCTAATCGTTAATGTAATCCTAAAGAATGTATCTTGGTGGTGTTTAAGTGCAGTCCACACTGGATTTCCATGTTATAGTTAACTGTAGTCGTCGTCGTCGTCGTCATCATGGCAAATCCCAAAGGACCCGGCCTCCTTGCAGTAACCAGATAAACATAGTGACATAATTAAATGGATATAATTAAGTGTCAGATTCAACACCCTATTGAAAAATTTATTAGAAGGTTTTATCTCTGAGCTCTTGATTCAGGCTGTGAGACTATGGACTCAGGAAGATAGAGAATAAGCATACATTTTTCTTCACAACCATCATAGTTAAATATTAGGGTGTGATTTCCAAAAACACTTTGCTCCCACAGAAGTCATTTAAGCCAACATTGAGCATTGCTGAAATCTCACTTAATTAAAAAATAAAAGCTTAAATTCTTAGGAAACTGAGGGTATGTTACTGCATCTCAAGAACCAACTCAGCAGGCTGTGGATTACATACCCCAAGCTTCTTTTTCTAATTTTTATTTTTGTATTCTCTCTCTGAAACTCAAATTTAATTCCACCCCATGTACTTGATGCTGCTGCACTTTTTACTAATGTAGATTGACTTTAGAATGGCTGAATCATAAAAAGTATTATGGTTATTTATGTTGAAGAAAATAATCCCATAGCCTTTCCAGTCTGTGTACTATTTTCTCTTGTACTTTGTTTCAGCTTTGTCCCACATTTGGACTTGGGAGGCTGAGAGCAATGCTTAGAATTGGCCTTCCTCAATCTAATTTTTCTGGTCAATACTTGTGTATGTACAGAATGAGAAACACAGTGATGCAAACAAGTGGGCAGTATTGCACACAGAAGAGATCAAAGAGGAAGTTTTTAATTAACCACAGGTAGTATTTAAAAAATTCAGTTTCCTAAACTAAAATGTACAAAGCTCAATGTGGTATTGGCTAGTCCATTAAGGAGCCAGGACTAACTTCAGGCCTGATCCAATTCTTATTGACTTTGATGGGTGCTGATTAAGATGGGAAGACAAGTCAGGACAGAAAAGTTTCCAACTACGTTAGGTCACTGTAGTTGGGTGTGTGATCTGATGGAGAAGTGTGCTTTCTGCCCAAGGCTTATGAATCAGTTTGGGTGGACCATAGTGAACTATGGTCAATCCCTATATTTGGAGAGCATTCAATTGACTGTTCCCTAAAAACACTGGATTCGAAATTAGTGTACTGTTTGATGTATGTTGTGATAGGGATATTATGCTCCATTTCTCCATTATATTAAAAATATATAAATTGAAAGTGGTCCGTCATCCTGATTGCTGGGGCTATGACCTTTATTCAGTTTGCTTGGAGATACTTCATGTGTGATTTGCTCAGTTGCTAGGGGTGGAATCATTTCCACTGCTGTTGGGTAACTTGTCAACTGGCCTTCTCTGGAATTACCAGAACATGTCCTTTCCCTTATCTGCTTAAGTATGCCAAGGTGGCAATTCTGAAATGGTTGAGACAGCTCCTATACTGCCATGTCCGGATGCTGGAAATGTTGACACTGGCAAATGAAAGCCTGGAAATTATTTACTCAACTTGAATCACCTTTTCCCCAAATAGTCTGTGAAAGAATAGATTTGGGAGGAACTGTGGTATGTCTAAAATCTAGCATTCATTATAAGGGATCTTTGTAAGTAGGATTATTGGTTTGATTTTTCTTTTTTCTGAACATGCCATGTAAGTTGAATACTGATGTGCAAATTCTGTCTTTAGATATGTTTCTAAAAAATGTATTTCCTTTGGTTATAACTCTCATGATAGTTGTTTTCTGGTTAAAGTGGGAATCAATGTGTGTGAGAGAGGAAATGTGCTTTTTGAGGGATATTTGTCTTTATGATTATGATAATTCCGTACAGAGAGAAATTCACTTCAAAATAGGGGTTAAGTGAGACTTGAGTGGTGCACAGACCTTGTACTGGCCTCTCTGCACAGGGGTGGATGTCATTCACAATGATTTAAAAATAGCTGAATCTGTGGTACAGGGTCGAAAATCACTACTGGTTTTTTAAATACAATCACTTACAGTTTTTGAAAAATCTATTAAAAATATACAGTATCTAAATGTGAGGTCAATGACTACATGGGATAGTAGTACCTTTTATTACAAGGTATCATACAAGGAAAATATTTTACCATATGGGTGGCCTTTGTTTCCAGTAGAAATAGTGATGGTACCATTACTTAACAACCCACAACAGACAAGGCTTACATTAAAAATTCACTCAGAATACAAAGCCATAAGGGAACTTTTTTGGGAACTTTTTTACTACCTGGTGGAAGTGAGTATTAAGCAATCAGTGTATCAAGTTTGGACAACAGGTACAGTTAATATGTGTCTCTGCTTAATAATTCTTGGCATGTTTCCTATTCTCTGATGAGAGAAGTGTGTTACAAAATAATTACCACTTAATGCAAGCCCAACTAATGTCAAGTAACATTATGAAACATGTGAAGCATGCAAGTTAAAACTCATTTTTGCAGCTATGTCGTTGTTCAGAACCATTAGCATGTGTTTATAAATGATCAAATATCTTTTGTCTCCAGTAAAAGCTCTGTCAGCAAATGAGAAAACATTACCAAAGCTGTTAACACCATAGATTTTCTGCAAGCATGCTGACAGACAAAATGGGAAACTAGTATAACCAGCTATTGAGGAAATGAAATCATTTATAGTGACATGTAATGCCTGTCAATACAAGAACCAGACATGGTAACTATTTTTTAAAGGAAATTTCCACTCATTTCTCCTAGTCTATTGTGTTTCAGTGAAATTTAAAAGTGTCCTTAATTTACTCCCCCAAATGAATGAATTATTGGCTTTGAAGAGTTGGCAAGTATGAAGAACCTGGAAGATTGTAATCTAACTGGAATCTTGCTCTGCTTTGTTGCTTGACTGTTGCTGGAAAACTTCCGAACACATTTTTCTCACTAAATCACTGAGTTCTCACTACAGAAATAACACTCTGGACAACCTTGCTTGCCTTATGCTAATAATCCCATTGGTTTCATGACTAGGGGAAGAAAAAATTCACTCTATACGTACTGTACTGCAAAAAAAGAAATCCATATTCATTTATTGTTCTAACACATCAGCCCATGTATAGTAAGTGGACGTAGCCCTTTTCCCTTCATCTCATAGGCAATTATAACACTGTGAAGACATATATTTTCTTCTAAGTGGGAAAGTTCTTTTAATGGAAATACAGGCTGTATGGCAGGACCTAGAGAGAAACAATGAGAGAGAAAGAGAGTTCACCAGAGGTTCAGGTTTGAACACAAATCACCCTCTCCTGATAGGGTTTTGTTGCAGGGTTCTGGTTAAACCCAGATTGACACCAGTTTTGTAAGTCTGTAGCTGCATTCCATCCATGCACTTATACAAGCAGTAAACTCAAAAGAAGCCAGATGGGGTAGCTCTTCTATTCTGCCTAGAGCTTCCTGTCCTGGCTTTTGGTCAGCACAGCCTTCTTAACTTCCCTGTGTATGGTATGTGCATAGGCTAATCTGCTCCTGATTTGCTTCCAGCCATTAGTGCGTCCCGCGGATCCTTCTGATCCTCAGCTGGGAATTAACCCACAAAGTCCTTTGTTTGGGTTGGTGGAGCTGCCTCCCCAGGACATCAGTGGGACTGGTTGTGTCAAGACTTTGAGGCTCCCTCCAGGGGATGTCAAAATATACTGTAGTCCTTGTACTCACTGTTGCAGCTTGTCAGGCATAGAAAGAAAATGGAGAAAGTCAAAGCAGATAAGATGGGTGGTTTTAGACTTACTTTCCCCTCAACTCTTTTCTACAGACATTAAGGTAAGGCAGAGCAGAGGGAGAACTTCCCCTCCCTTCTTGTCTGGCTGATGAAGTGAGGACTGCCCAGCCATGAGAGGAGCTTCTTCCTGGTGCTCCCAGTTTTTCCCACCAGTCAGAGGAGCATCTAATGGCAGAATTATGGCCCCAGACACAAGTTCTCTATTCGCCTCCTTTACAAAGGAAGGTATTTCTCCAGGCTAGTTCCAGAGGAAGGAACTTGCCCCAGCAGCTCCCTATTCCCCTGAGGAGGGAGAGGGAAGGAAACAAATAAATCGTATGTTTGACATAAAATCTCTTTTTACATTATATATTTCAGGGTAGAGATCCAGACCCTCTCCTTTTTTGTTTTTGAATCAGTACAGATTCGCCATCCTAGCAGACACTGGAGAGTGTCTTTTTACTTTGCTTGCTGCTGGCTCCTTTGGGGAGTGGGGAGAAGAAACCCTGTCAAATGCATTTCTTTTCTTGACCCCATTCTCTTCTCTTTGCTGCCTTTTATCATCACAAAATGATGCAACACCTCATTCCTGATAATATGGAGACATGTAATGGCAGCCATCAAAATTAATGAGCTTCCCCTCCTGTCTTGATCTACTTTATCCACTGCACATCTGTGTAAGTCCACAATTCCTTTACTTGTACATCTTTTTATGACGGAGGTTTACATAAGGGAGCTTCTTATTTCCTTGGATTCAACTGCACAGACCGCTAATGGTAAGTCTGCTAATTGCATCTGATTGTAATGTTTATGCAAATGGATACCCCTGCTCTCTTTTGGCATCTACTGTTTTTACCAGTTGCTCCTGGTCTGTTATGGGTAAGGCTACGATTTAGTCATGGGTATTTTTAGTACAATTCATGGACAGGTCATGGGCAATAAACAAAAATTCACAGCCCGTGACCTGTCCATGACTTGTACTAAAAATACCAGTGATTAAATCTTGGAGGGGGGGCACTGATGGGGGGATGCCTGGGGCTAGCAGCACCAGTTGCCGGGGGCCAGGGACCGTTGCCCAGGCTGCTGGAGCAGCAGCTGGTGTGGCTGTCCCCAGGGCCTCTCTAGAAATGGCTGGTGTGGCTGTGTCGGGGACCACCTGAGGAGCTGGCCCTGGAGCCAGCTGCTTGGGCAGCCCTGGGGTCAGCCAAACTGGCCCCCGAAGAAGTCACGGAGGTCACAGAAAGTGGCAGAATCCGTGACTTTCATAACCGCCATGAGACACAGAGCCCTAGTTATGGGTAATTGAAATGTAGTGGTGAGTGGCATTTTGTGATAAAACTAGGCCAGATACAGGGGCCAGCAATTTTCAGAAATAAATGCCTTAAGTTAAGCTCCTAAACCCATATTTAGGCATCTAAGTTAAGTGACCTCTTTTTCAGAAATGTTCAGCATTCACTGACTTCAACAGAAGCTGCTGAGCAGTCAGCATTTTTGAAAAAGAGGCCATATATTTAGAAGCCTAAATACAGGCTTAGGAGTCTAACTTTACGCATCTTGGGTAAAATGTTCAAAAGCACCAAAGGCCCAGATCTTCAAAGGATCCTTAGACCCAGATCTTCAAAGGTTTTTAGGCAATTAATCAATGGGAGTTAGGTGCCTAAACACCTTTGAAGATCTGGGTCTAAGTGACTAAAGCGCCTTAGAAAATTTTATACTTTGATCACAATTTCCAAATCTCCTTTTTGCTTGTGCTGGAGGCTCTTAAAAACTGGCTTTATGGAATGTATACAAAAATGAACATTACAGTAATGTTTTTTTCTGGTTACGTCTGTCTTGAACTCTTGTCCTATACTTAAGGCCCTACCAAATTCACAGTCCATTTTGGTCAGTTTCACAGTCATGGGATTTTAAAAATGGTAAATTTCATGATTTCAGCTTTTTAAATCTGAAATTTCAGTGTTGTAATTATGGGGATCTTGACCCAAAAAGGAGTTGGGGAAGGGGGGTGGCAATACCACTACCCTTACTTCTGCGCTGCTGCTGGGGGCAGCTGTGCCTGCAGTGCTGGGCTCCTGACCAGCAGCTGCCGCTCTCCAGCTGCCCAGCTCTGCAGGCAGCACCACCGCCAGCAGCAGCGCAGAGGTAGGGATGGCCGGGCATGGTATTGCCAGCCTTATTTCTGCGCTGCTGCCTGCAAAACTGCGCCCTCAGTCAGCAGCTGCTGCTCTCTGGCTGCCCAGCTCTGAAGGCAACACAGACGTAAGGGTGGCAATACCCAACCCCCCCCCCCCGCAACTCCCTTTTGGGTCAGGACCCCCAATTTGAGAAACGCTGGTCTCCCCTGTGAAATCTGTATCGTACAGGGTACAAGCAAACACAAGACCAGTTTTCACTTTCCATGACATGTTTTTCATGGCCATGACTTTGGTAGGGCCCTCCTTATGCTACGCTACAACCAGGTCTTGCATATTAGCCTGAGAATAAAATATATAACTACTTAAAACCTTACAGAAAGGTCCTCTCTTATTTAATAGAGAAGTTAACCATTCTGTAGAACTTTAACCCATTATATAGTTGGGATGTAGTTCTCTAAAGTACTATACTTTGATTTAAAATGTTGGTATTTCCTATGAAATTTTTAGAGTATTTAGAGTATATAAACCTATTAAATGTTGATAATACCCTATTATTGTTTAAATATTATTGTCAGTCCTACACTTATAGTAAGGTGGGATGTATCTGTCTCTTCAGGGAATGATTAAGCATGTTATTCAACAATTAAAATTTAAAGAGAAAAGTTGTTACATTACATATTGAACTGGGGAGTGAGAGTTTGAGTACCATGCCTCTTCATGGTTATTTGGTTCAGATTACAGAGTAACAGCCGTGTTAGTCTGTATTCGCAAAAAGAAAAGGAGTACTTGTGGCACCTTAGAGACTAACCAATTTATTTGAGCATGAGCTTTCGTGAGCTACAGCTCACTTCATCGGATGCATACCGTGGAAACTGCAGCAGATATTATATACACACAGAGACCATGAAACAATACCTCCTCCCACCCCACTGTCCTGCTGGTAATAGCTTATCTAAAGTGATCATCAAGTTGGGCCATTTCCAGCACAAATCCAGGTTTTCTCACCCTCCACCCCCCTACACACAAACTCACTCTCCTGCTGGTAACAGCCCATCCAAAGTGACAACTCTCTTCACAATGTGCATGATAATCAAGGTGGGCCATTTCCTGCACAAATCCAGGTTCTCTCACCCCCTCACCCCCCTCCAAAAATTATTCGCAAAAAGAAAAGGAGTACTTGTGGCACCTTAGAGACTAACCAATTTATTTGAGCATGAGCTTTCGTGAGCTACAGGGGTGGTGGAGGGGGGTGAGGGGGTGAGAGAACCTGGATTTGTGCAGGAAATGGCCCACCTTGATTATCATGCACATTGTGAAGAGAGTTGTCACTTTGGATGGGCTATTACCAGCAGGAGAGTGAGTTTGTGTGTAGGGGGGTGGAGGGTGAGAAAATCTGGATTTGTGCTGGAAATGGCCCAACTTGATGATCACTTTAGATAAGCTATTACCAGCAGGACAGTGGGGTGGGAGGAGGTATTGTTTCACGGTCTCTGTGTGTATATAATATCTGCTGCAGTTTCCACGGTATGCATCCGATGAAGTGAGCTGTAGCTCACGAAAGCTCATGCTCAAATAAATTGGTTAGTCTCTAAGGTGCCACAAGTACTCCTTTTCTTTTTGGTTCAGATTAGTCAGTGTAAGGGTATGATGAGCCTCGGGAGGCAATCCAGGCCAGTGAGAGGTTGTGTCACCACTTGCTCTGAAACCTAGATGTTTTACAGTGCTTTGCTGCTATATCTTCTAGCCTGGAACATTCACAATGAGCCTACAGACATGCAGGTTGCACTCTGAAATAACTGTGCTAGACAGCTCTGGTTCAGCAGCCCTGAACGCAGCAGTCTGTCTACATCCCCACTCAGGCTTCCAGCAGCCTTGGTTACTACTTGCAGCATGACCCCAAGACACGCTAATTCCCAGACTTTCCTAAAACTGTGTGCGCTGCAATGTCCATTCCTCTTCTGGACAGTTCAGAGAAATAATAATGTCCGTTTGTTCCTTTAAAGAGACACAAGCACATCACATAGCCTATTAACTTAACTGGGGTAAATACACACCCTTCCCTTTAAACACAGCACTGAGTTGGTTTATAGTAAAAAATAAAACAAATTTACTAATAATAGGGCATAGGTTATGTGATGCCAACTAAAGGAATAATGTTAGAAAGGGTTACAAGCAAATAATACAGTAATATTGTATACTATCAGTTGATTCAATTGTTTATCACTTGAGGTTCAGACCCCGCTGTCTTGATAGACCAGTAAACCTTTGAAATGGATTCTTCTGAGGATTACCCCTCAAAGTAAAGTTTATTCAACCTGTGAAGAAGATGACATGGAGTCTGGTGATGAAGGAAGCTCCGTGCTCTTTCGTCCCCCTGCTGTCTCGATGGTCCTGTTTACTACTTGGATGTAAATACGGACCTTCATTGTCTTTTCCTGAAGATTGGGCTGGTCAGACAATCAAATTTATATTTCTTTGTCTAAGGCAGACCTGCCCACCAACTCCCCCTGACAAGCCTGGTTTCATCACATTAGTCATAATTCTAGCATGTATCTATAACTCTTAAAACCCATCATGTACATACATCATCCAAGAACATTAATGATCAGTGAGTTATTAGCTTTCAAATGATACCTCACAAGGCATGTTTTGTACAAAGATTATTACAGAAGTGTGTGAGATGTGATTACGGAGTGCTTACAGTCACAAATGGGCATCTAGTAAAAGTGTGACTTATCAAGTATAATTATCACTTGTTTTTATACTGACTCATCGGCATAATCATTCCTGTAACCATCATGGTTTTTTTCCACTAGGAAAAAAAGCATTAATATTCTTAAATTATTTTTCCAACTTCAGATTTAAATAAAATACAGAAAAATTATTTGATCTGGAACATTTCTGTAAGTGCTCAATTGTCACTTGCTTTTTGGAAACCGAATACTACCCTCTAATCTAACTTCTCTGTGTGGATGTTTGTGCTTTCCCTTCTGAAGATTAGAATTCTGTAACAGAAACATTTATTACATCCAGTTCATGGATTCAGGACCGAGCCCAGTTCTTTACTCCTTTTAGAAAGAGGTTTTCTTTCTATCCACACTAGTGAGGTTTTCAACAGTTGAGAGTTGCTACCACTGTTAAATGAGAAATGATGACAATACCCACCCA